CGCTTCTGAAAAAACTGAATTTAAACTCAACCTGTCAATTTAGAGAACAACCTTTTATCTGGTTATAGGGCAGGCTGGATAAAGCAACGACCTCGCTGTAACCCCACTGCATTAGAAGTAGTGTCGTTATAAATTCACACAGTTACCATCTTTTGTAATTCTGACGAATTCCAAGTAAAGCTTTGTTTGTAGTCGAACCTCTTGGGTCACTGTGGTGACTCCTGTACACGGGGTAGAGAACTGGGGAATCTCACCTCCCCTAGCCCACCCAGTGGGACGGGACGCCCATCCCCATCCACTGCCTGTTTCCTCTCCTCGTGCTCTCTCACAATGCTGCGTGAAGGCAGCCAGCCTTGTGATTAATCCTGCTCATCCTGGTACCAGTTTCCCATGGGAAGTTTTCTTAAAATGAGCAGTTCTTACCAATAGCTGGTGGGGTTTTTTTTTGTTTTCCCCTATATACGTTGACCGTACAGATTCAGCCTTTATTACTGCTCTCGGTGGAAACCAGTTTGAAAAGTGTAGGTCGCAAAGATGCCAAATTTTTCATGTTTTATCGATTAATCATATATCCTCAGTGATCAGAAATTCAATTTTGGTCTAGAGGCTGTTGGTAAGTTATTCTGGGAGAATGTCTGCTGTTGTGCCTGTCGAGGACGGAGCAGGACGCTCAGGGTGCGGAGCGTGATGTCCAGGGTCTGTGCGAGCGGTTGAGGCTTTGGGCCAGGGGGTTTGCTCTTCACCTTTGGATGGTGCAGGCTGTAAAACCATCCTCGGCAGGGCTGTTGGGGGCACTTGGACTGGCCTCTTGTGATGATCCTCTGGCTGAACCAGCACTTCTCCACACTGAAACCGCTTGTGTTTTCCTTCTCCATCTCACCTTCTGCCCCATCACAGAATCACAGAATCACAGAATCACAGCATGGTTGGGGTTGGAAGGGCCCTGTGTGGGTCACCTAGTGCATCCCCCCTGCTGAAACAGGGTCACTTACAGCAGGCTGCACAGGACCTTGTCCAGGCGTTGCCCCTGGTCCTGTCACTGGGCACCACTGAAAAGAGTCTGGCCCCATCCTCCTGACCCCCACCCTGCAGATATTTAGAGGCATTTCTAAGGTCCCCTCTCAGCC